GCCGTTGAAGATGATGATTTGAGTGGCCCCTCTCTTGGATATGCCTGCCCAGGCACAGACCTTAACTGGGTGTTTTGGGCGCGGCTTCATCTTTGGGGAGTAGATCTCGCCATCCTTGACTTTGTCCCATCTCTTCCTAAAGCAGAGCTTGGCATGGCTGTCCAGATAGATTATCGTCTCGTCTGTGAACACCACGTCGTCGAAAGTCTCCCCCAGTAACTTCACCCGCTGACACCACTCCAGTCGTCTATCACGATTGGCTGGCCGAATTACCTGTGTTTTATATGTATATTAGTTGGGAATTTCGGGCAATGCCGCGGACAATTTTTTCTTGTACATTTGGTACGACAATGGCCGTGACACAAGGTTACACGAATGAACTGGGGTGTGTTTCTGCAGTTTTAAATGCCTGAAGTATAAAATAGTGATTAAAATTTGCTAATGTGGGATATTATGTGCCATGTGTCAATATCATACAGATTGCCTTATTCAGAATATTTCTAGTTTTGCCGCCCCAAAATTGCATTAGGTGCCTTTAAACTCCAGATATTGCTAAAAAAATGTACATTTAACTCAGCGCTTCCATAAATTCAAAACTCAATTTTGGAGTTATAATAAGGAGAAGAGAGGGCATTTTATCGCCCTTTTGTTAAAAAACAAACATATTTAAATTCGTTGACCCAGCAGCCATTGTATTTGCTACATGTGCACGAGAGTTTATGTAAATATTGCCCAATAAATGTAGTGAACATAAAGTCTTCATGTACAGGTCCAGTCAGGACAGATGTAACGTTAGATATCGCTACAATGGGACACAACATTGCACAAAGAATACTCTTGGTGACTTGGTCCTTATGTTATAAGCCACAATGTTGATTTAATACTGACCTGGCAGTACTTTGCAGCACTTTTCACCCACCCAATCCTGTAGCGACACTTCTTGATGGTCGAGACGGACACAGACAGACCATACCTATGCAAAGGAACACTTGTCAGTCCAAATTGCGTGACAGTTAAAAAGAAATTAAAAAAAAAGAACGTTCCATACCAATCCGATGAAAATATTTTTTTAAACGACGTACCTATCAACCAGCATTCTCTGTAGGTCCCTGGCCGTCAGTTCATCATTC